CCCCCCCCCCATCCCAGCCCATGGGCCTGGATTTTATGCCTGAGGGGTCCCTTCTCCACAGGGCACCATGGGGTCAGTGACAGGTGCTGCCCAGCCAGGTGTCCCCATCTGCTGAGGGCCCTTCCCTCCTCACTTCCTTTCCCTTCCCTCTTCCCTTCCCTTCTCTCTTGCCTTCCCTCTTCCCTTATTGTCCCTCTTCTCTTCCCTTCTCTCTTCTCTTCCTTTCCCTCTTCTCTTCATTTTTCCCTTCCCTCTTTCCTCTTCTATCCTCTGCCCTTCCTTTCCTGCCCCCCCAGCCTGGGGATCACCTTTTCCTGATCCCCTGATCTCCCTAATCCACGCTGATCCCACTGATCCCATTATTCTCACCCATCACCTGCACACACAGCCCCTGTGGGGCACTGGGAGGAGGAGGGGGCTCCCCCAGCCACGTGAAATCTCCAGTGAGGGCACTGTGCTCCAAACCTCAGGATCTGGCCCTTGTCCAAAGTCCCTCTCCAGCTCTCCTGGAGCACCTTTAGGCACTGGAAGGGGCTCCAAGGTCTCCGTGGAGCCTTCCCTTCTCCAGGCTGAACAATCTTTTCCCAGAAACTCTAAGGCTGTTGGTGTTTGGAACCAAAGATTCCCTGGAGAGATGTACCTATACCCCAAACTGCCCACATGGGTACCAATAGCTCAAAGTCTCCCAGATCCCAGCATCTGATGTGGCTGCAAGGAAGGGAACACACCTCCCTTGGCCTTGTCAGAGGAGAGAGTGGCCTCACCTGATCATGGAGGCTATTTGGGCTTTGTAGCCAGTGCCACTGCCCTCTCCTGGGAAGGGAGGCTGCCAGGAAGGGCCACGGGTATAGAAATGTCACTGGGAGGCTGGATCCAAAAGGCTGTTTGCTCCCAGCTTGCAGTTAGCTTTGGGAGTGGCTTGCAGGATTGGGAACAGGGCTCGAGCTGGGCTGTGCCACATCCCACCCTCTGAAAACTGCAGACTCCAAGGATGATGCCCAGGCAGGACTCATGTCACTCAGCTTCCTCCTGTGGAAAGCGACACGGGCTCCCAAATCCACACACCCAGGACTTGACAGAATGAGGGGAATCGGCCTCAAGTTGTGCCAGAGGACCTTTACATTAAATATTAGGAAAGCTTTTATCATGGAAAGGGCTCTAAAGCTCTGGGACAGACTGCCAAGGGAAGTGGTAGAGTCACCATGCCTGGAAGTGTTCAAATGAACATGTGGATGTGGCACTTGAGGACATATTTTAGTGGTGAACACGGTAGTGCTGGGTTGGTGGTTGGACTTAACCATGTTAAAGGTCTTTTCCAAACTTAACAATTTAACGCTTTTATCTGGAAGAGCCCAGCAGCTTTGCTGGGGCAAAGAAGGTATTTGGGGCTTTATTTTTTGCCCCCCTTGCCCTTGGCCTTCTTCAGCTTCTTCAGCTTTGCCTTGAAGAAGGACCGCACCACGTAGCCTCTCCAGGCGGCCTGGATGCGGGTGGCAGCACGGTTCCTCCTGGCCTGCTCCTGCAATTCCTCCTCCTCCTTCTGCTTAAGCATCTTGCGCTCCTCCTCAATCTGGGAATACTCCTGGAGCAGCAGAGCGTGTTTCTCCATCAGTTGGGCCAGCTGGGCCTTCTCCTCAGTGTAGACAGCGTGAATCGCCTCGAACGTGGCCTGGCAGGTACAGCAGTTGAGCTCCTCCCTGTACACCCCCAAGGGTCCTGAAACCCACCCCAAACCCGTGCAGGACCACAACGGGGAGCTGAGCTGAGCTTTTCCAAAGGGATTCAAAAAGAAGGCATGTGCCCAGTACCCAGGGAATTTCATGAGATGCCGGGTCCCAGTATCTTCATGTTCTTCTGAAAAATCCTTCCACAATGGAATATTTGAGAACAGTGGGGGGGGAGGTCTGCCTTGACAAATTCTACCCCAAACCTGCTCCTGCCTCCCCACAGACAAGAAACCAAAATAATCCCATTATTAAACACCTGACCAGGGGAATCATTCCTTACAATTAGCAGCAGCTTTCAGGCCCCTCCCTGCATTTTGGAGTCCAGCAGCTTTTATCCATCCCCATAAATAGTGCAGGAACAGGGAAGCCACCAGGGCCTTCACAGAGGTGAGGTTTGGGAGTGCTCATGTGCCCCTCAGGCTGTTATGGCTCAGTTGGGTGCAGGCTGTTGGGTTCCTTAGCACCCAGCACATCTCTAAAGGATCCAGCAGGAACAGGATCAGGATTTGGGCACCAGACAGAGCCATGAGGATTGAGGATTGGAGCAAACCAGAAAAACCTGTTCCCTGGCATGTGGTGGATGTGCCTGAAAGAATGTGGCAACCCATAGGTCCCCAAACACTGTGTGATTTAGTAGTGGATGTAGCTTTTCCTAAAACCAAAGGAGCAGAGAACTCCTGGACACATAAGCAGGACAAAGATCCCTTTCCTGCAGTTCATCTGGATGGAGATCTGTCTGTCACTTCCATGGCCTCCTGGGTAAGAGCCACATGTCCATTTGGACAGGAATCTACCTGAGCAAATTCCCTCATGGCAGAGCAAAGCAGTTTAGAGCCAATACCTGTTTTGCTGCCATGTCTGTGTCATATTTCTGGATCCAGTTCTCAATTTCCTCCTCCGTTCTGCACTTCTTCTGAAACACAAAACAAGATGAGATCCCTGCAGGCACCTGGGGCCTGAGTGAGAAGGATCCTGAGTGAGAAAGCAGGGAAGCTTTGAGCCCCGTCCCTGGAACAGGCTTCCCTCGGCTGACATATGTGATTTGCCCTGGTTTGAGGATTCTCCTGGGACATTCCCTGAGGCCCAGAGGGCTTTATTTGGTTGACAGCATGGAGCTGGGGGGTTGAACAGCACCTGAAAGGTGCTTTCTGCAGGATGAAATGAATGTATCCTATGGAATGTGGTAAGTCATCGACAAACTGGAGAAACCACCCTAAAATAGAAGCAATAAAGAACTGCAAAGCATGAACACAGGACAGAAAGTACTCAGAAGATGCTTTTTTAAAAGAAGAGATATTTCTGGCTGTAGAACAGTTTAGCAGTGGCTATACTGCTGTGCAAGCAGTTATGGGCAGTTTATCCCCAACTGCTGTATCCGTGCTCTGTGGAATCATTCCTGGTCCATCTCAGGTGCCACATGATTTCCTACGTGACACTGCCCCAGGAAGCCCCAAGGGCTCCCAGGCCATCACAGGGTCACATCTCAGCTAATTAGACCACAATTACAACCTTGTACTTGTACACGAGTACAACTTGTACTTGCTGAGGAAAGGAGGCCTCTGTGGTCAATAAATGCGTCTTCCTGAGTGCTGGAATGAGCTGAGCACTCCTCAACAAGCCCTGCTGTGCTCTGCAGCCTCAGGGACTGCCTGACACTGCCCAAGGAGGTGTAAGTGGGTAGATTTTGGGGTTTGTACTGTGGCTCTAACTTGGTTTTGGTGCTTTGTCAGTGCCCAGCCCTGTTGCCAAGTCGTACTGCATCACCCAAAGCAAGAGTGAGGGATACCCCCATCACCAGCCTGGGCTGTCCTGCCCATGGGGGGCTGTGATGGTTTGAGGGAATATCCAGGAGGAGCAAAATGAGGAGGGAAACTTTTTCCAGTTCTAGATTCTGTGTCACCAGAGCGTTCTCCTCAGGGCAGAGCTGTTGCTCCAGAGGCCTGAGCCTGCCTTGTGCTCCTGTTTCCTCCTCCTGTATCTGCTCAGCACTGGGGGGGGGGAAGGACCTTGGGGTACTGCTGTGTTTCGGGCTGGACATGCCCCGCCCATGTGTCCTGGCACCCAGAACCCTCCATGCCCTGGGCTGATCCCTCAGCGTGGGCAGCAGGGCAGGGGGGATTCCGCCCCTCTGCCCCCTCAGCTGAGACCCCCATGCAGAGCTGCTCCAGCCCTGGGAACAGCACAGGGAGGACGTGGAGCTGCTGGAGAGAGTCCAGAGGAGGCCCCGGAGATGCTGCCAGGGCTGGAGCCCCTCTGCTCTGGAGCCAGGCTGGGAGAGCTGGGGGGGTCACCTGGACAAGAAAAGGCTCCAGGGAGACCTGAGAGCCCCTTGCAGGGCCTAAAGGGGCTCCAGGAGAGCTGGAGAGGGACTGGGGACAAGGGATGGAGGGACAGGACACAGGGAATGGCTTCCCACTGCCAGAGGGCAGGGACAGATGGGAGACTGGGAAGAAATTGTTCCCTGTGAGGGTGGGGAGGCCCTGGCACAGGTTGCCCAGAGAAGCTATGGCTGTCCCTGGATCCCTGGAAGTGTCCAAGGCCAGGTTGGACGGGGCTTGGAGCAACCTGGGCTGGTGGAAAGTGTCCCTGCCCATGGCAGAGGGTGGGACTGGATGGGTTTAAGGTCCCTTCCAACCCAAACCATTCTGGGATGATTCTATGAAATCACATTTACCCTCAGTCAACACCACACGAGTCCTTGGCTTATCTCTTCAGCAACATGCCAAGCAGAGCAGGAACTGCTGAGCCCTCAACATCAGCCACATTCTACCTTGAACACTAAATCAACTCTAAAAGATGCCTTTCTATGAAGCCAATATTGTGTTTGCTCTGCCCACCCTACACTAGATCCCTTGTTTCTCCACCACCCCTCACCTGTCCTGCTCCAGCCTTGCTGCCCTGCACTCTGCCCACCCACAGCCTCTCCCATGCCATGTCACAGCTCCGTGGGAAGGTGCTCCCAGAGCCGAGGCAGGAGCAGGACCTGTGACAGGCTCTGTCCCTGCTGTCACTGCAGGGCTGCTTTCCACTGGAATCAGCAGAGCATGAGGACAGAGCGGGTGTACTCTGACAAAGACCATGTGCATCCTGCCAGGAACGAGCAGGGACCAAGGAATCCCTTGCAGCAGACAGAAGGCAGAGCTGACAGCTCTGCAAACAGGTTTAAATCTCCTGTCCCAGAGCTCTTCTCCCCTTTACCTTCCTGAGACGCAGCTCCGAGGCTCGATGCTCCTCTACCAGGGCACTGAACTGCACTCGCAGGTGCTGCACGTCCTCCTGCAGCCTGGCACACCTGCCCTGGGCGGCTTTCGCCTCCTCTTCTTGCTGTTTTGCCCCTTCCTTCTTCATCTGCTGGATCTCAGCTTTGCGGTCCTTGGCCAGATTTTCCATGGTGGTTTTGAGGTCTTCAATCATTTTGTCCTTCTTGTCCATCTAGAGCCAGAAGACAAGAGGATATCATTGGGAAATGCCAGTGAGGCATAAGGTGGGCAAGAGAAAAAAGACCTGGCAAAGATGGAGGAGATCCAAGAAGAGACCCTTAGGTGCCTGCTCAGGTAACACCAAGGACCTGCCACTGCTGGCTGAGGAAAGAGTTAGATTTACACAGGAACTTTGGAAACCTCCTCCCTTGCTCCTCTGGGACCCCGTTAGTAAAGGTAGAGAGTGAACAAACCACCCCAAGCCTCACTGGCACTGCCACCTGAGGAACAGCCAAAAGCAGATTCCCTGGAGCGAGCCCATGTCTCCCTTGAGAGCTGGATCAGGCTCCAAGTCTGGGGAAATCCCCAGCTGGGATCAGTGAAACAGATTTATCCACGATGCCCTGGCCAAGCCGCCAAATTGCACATAAAAATCTCAAGTGTCTCAATTCCCAGATCTCCAAGGAGCAGAGGGAATGGGGAAAGCAGGCTCTTGGCTCTGCCAGCACCATCCAGTGCAACGAGCACAGGACAAAACCTCCCTCGCTGACCCCTCTTGCAGGGAGAAGAATGAGGAGCACATGTAGAAAACAAAGAATTGTTGTCAGGAGCTCAGGGCTTGGATGCTTGGCACAGTCCACAGGCTTGGAAAGTGCCTGGGAAGTGCCCAGTCGTTCATCTGCACCTCAGCTGCAGATAAAATTAAAAATTGATGTAATTCATATAATCACTGATTAATCACAAATGCTCCAAGGCAGCTGTTAGAGTCAGGAGTCACAGAAATGTTGGTTTTAAGCAAGAGTGAAGACAGGGCAGACATTAAAAATGGATTTTAATCAGAGTAATCTCTCCCTGGAATGACTTTTCATTGTTTCATGAGCAGGAATGAAGCAGCTGGCACTGTCACCCTGCCAGGACACCACCACAGCAATTTGTGTCAGTCCTGCAGCTCCTCTGGAACTTGTCTCGTTCAAGTTGGCTGGTGAGAACAGGTTCAAAACATGCCAAATTCAAGTTTTAAAAAAAAAATCAAGTGTGCAATAAGCATCCTTATTCTATTTTCCAATAAAAATAGTATCTTTAAGTTTAAGATCTGGTTTAGAAATGATTTCTGGAACTTGCTCTTTCAGAACTGCAATAAAGGGGTCAGTTTGTTACCAAAGTTTTGTTCCAGTAACACTTTGCAGGAAGATATTCCCACAAGATCATACCTCCTCCTTTCGAGTCTGGATTGCTGCTGCCAGCTCTGCCTGTAGAGCTGTGATCACTTCAGTGTTTTGCTCAGCCTTGAGGGACATTTCTTCCACGAACTGAATCTTTTCTCGCTCTTCAGCAGGACTGGTCAGGAGCTTCTCCAGCATGAAATCCCTGAACTCTGCAAAGGCTTTGATAAACGCATCAGCTGGTGATGCTCTCACCTGGACTTGATACTTCAGTCCCTGGCAAAGCAAAGGGTTGGCCAGAAGGAGCCTCAGGATGTGTCTAAGAGAACATTTCAGGCGTTGCTCCCTGGCTCTTATGGTCTCCTGTGCTCCAGGGCTGGCGAGCAGGTGCTGCATTTCATTTGAAAGCTTTTGGTGCTCCAACAGGCTGGCTGTGATCTCAGGTCCCAGCATCCTAGCAAACCTCTCCAGGGAGCTAGTGATCCGTGGGATCAACCTGGTCATCTCCAGCTTGGTAATGGTCTCATCCAAGACAGTCAGGATTCTTTCCGTCTCTGCGCTATCAGGCTTTAGCTGACGTGGCTCCAACACCCCCATGGCACCTAAGGGGGTCGTTGCCTTCTCTGGAGTTGCCATGTCCTTCACCAGGGTTCTTTGCTTCACAATGATGCTTGGAATGCAGCTGGATTCCCTGTTGCCATGGATTCAACCTGTGGGCTGAGTGGTTTGAAGTCTAAAGGGACACAGCTCTCACACAAGGTGAGACTCTCAAAGAACATCAAGGTCCCTGTGCTGCCACTGTCACTTAAATCTTCCTTCTTGGATGTTCTGTCTAAGAGAAAATCATGGTGACAGTATTAGGGAAACAAGGTAATGTAGGAAAATGTGTGAGTTTCAGATGACACTGGAGTTCTCCCTGGGTGTGGGCATGGGGTCAGGATATGCAGTTGTGGGTCAGAGATGGTCTCTGTCCCAGAGAGGCTGTTGAATGCCCACAATAAGGCAATAATATTCCCTTAACAATAATTTCCTGGCCTCGAAGGGTGGTGGGAGGAAAGCTCCCAATTGCTTCTGAGGAGCAGCTGAACCGCAGCAGCACAGTCTGCAGCTCTTGTAGGGCCCTGTGCCCACCTTGAAAGGGTGGGCAGGGTTCCCAGTAGGAAACCTCTACGCTTCAGGCCTGGCACTGCCAGAGGGTGGGAGGGGAATCTGGAGGGAAAGGGCCAACAGGAGGGGACAGGGAGGGCATAAGGAGGGGGCAGGGGGCACCGGAGTGTGGGAGGCTGACAGGGAGCAAAGGGTCCCCTGGGTGTGGGTCTGGGGCAGCAGGGGGACCCAGGGACCCCCGGCTGTGGGACAGTCAGCGATCGGCGGGGGGTGCCCCCGGGGGGGGGCACCCCCGGGGGGGGGGGGGGGGGGTCGGGGGGGCCGGGCCGGGAGGATCCCCGGGTGGAGGGGGTGTCTCAGGAGTCCGTTACTGGGGAATGCCGGCCCCCGGCGGCCTGCAGCGCGCTCGGTCCCGATCCCGACCCCGACCCCGACCCCAATCCCAATCCCTGCCTCAATCCCGGTTCCGATCCCGGTCCCACCCGCCGCCAGCGCCTCACGTTGCCAGGCGACCGAGGGGGCGGGGCCTCTCCGGACAGCCTATGGCGAGAGGCGTTTGCCCCGCCCCGTGCGGACCCGCCCCTCAGCGGCACCCATCGCTTGATTGACAGGACCGCTGTCCAATGAGAAGCCCCGCGGCGGTGACCTGCCAGGGAGCGGGGTACCTGTCATGGCGGCCGCGAGCTCTGTGAGGGCAGAGGGGAGGGGGACAAGAGGCAGCGCGTCCGCTTCGGGCTACCCAGGCCTGTGTTCCTGAGAGCACGACGAATAACCTCAAAAACAAACTTCATCCCCCGGAGGTCAAATCTGCCAGGCGCGGGTCAGCGCATTGGGTGTCCAGGAGCCCCGAGGGGTCCGTTTTGAATCACCAGACACATCCGAGTTCCCCTAAACCGAACCGTTAACGTGACTGGTTTTGCAGCGTTCAGGGCCATAAAAGTGGTAATGAACCTCAGCTGATGAGGATGCTGATGTTGTACAGGCGCAATTAATTGGTTACCCGTGAATTAATTAGCGACCCCTGCAAGGCAGCTGCTGGCCCTCGAGCGCTGCACAGCGGCCGTGCCCTCGCCCTCTGCCCGGGCAGCGACACGGGTGCCCTCGGGACAGGAGGGATTTGATTTCCAGCGGGAAACTTGGCAAAAGGCTGAGTGCCAGGGCAGCTCCCGGTGATGGCAGCTGTGTCCTTGGGGCAGGAGCCAGCAGGGAGCCTTGTCCCGGGGCTCAGCCTTCTCTGGCCTGAGCATTCCCTTTACTTTGGCGTGGCGCGTCGGAGCCCGTGAATAAAACTGCAGCGCCGGGGCTGTGCCACTGCTCCAGCACGTCACACGTTATTAACTTTCCCTACGCAAAGCAAACAAGGGTCTGGTGATGGGAGATGCAGTGGGACAACCAGGGCTGGGGTTTATGGCCTGGCACTGGTGAGGATGGAGGAGAGGACACCCACGGAGGGGCCAGGCTTGCCCAGGTCTGCGCTTTCCCAAACTGCTCAGGACCGTGGATCAGAGCAGGCTTGTGTTGGCTCTGGGGTGCTGGGCTGGACACAGAATCACAGAATCATTAAGGCTGGAAAAGCCCTCTGAGACCATCGAGTCCAACCATCCCCCAGCACTGCCAAGGCCACCACTGACCCATGTCCCCAAGTGCCACATCCACAGGGCTTTTAAATCCCTCCAGGGATGGGGACTCCACCCCTGCCCTGGGCTTGACAGACCTTTCAGTGAAGACATTTTCCCTAATATCCAGCCTAAACCATGGCACAGCTTGAAGTCATTTCCTCTTGTCCTAAAACAGGGTGCAAGAGGCCACATGCCCTGAAGACATTTTGGCAATTAAATCCGTCATTAAAAGACTGTCTTTTTCTTTGCAAAGTTGAGGAGTGTCTTGATTGCTTCGTTTGAAATGGACCACTGCTCTCCAAGAACTGCAGACCTGGCCTTCCTTACGGCCATGACCCGGAGATGGGATCAGTTGCCCAGTGACTGTCACCAGTCCCCTGTGTCCTGGTGCACACAGCCTGCTCAAGGGACAGCAAGTCCTTGGGATGTACAGGAAGGGAGGAGGAAAAGGGTGGAGCCGTGGGTCTCATCCAAACCTCCTCTAAAATAGGGAAGACTGTGGATCACTGCTGCTCCCTCCTGGATCTGAGTAATTACAGACATTCCCATCCTGCAGGCAGAGATGGAGGTGATGACACAAGTCCAGAGCAGCCTGACTCGTCCTGCAGCTTCACACACCACTCCAGGCCAGCAGCAGCTCTTGCACCAGGAAGGAAACCAGGTCAATTTGTGAGGTGGGTGAAACACCACTGAACCTGCATCAGTCCCACCTCATCCAGGATGTAGGAAAACCTCAGATCCATCCTCAAACAATTCCCTGCACCCGAAGCCACCAGACTGCATCACTGCCCAGAGCCAGAAGTGCCCGAGAATCCAAATTATGTGGGACATATCTGAGCAAGGAAGGGAGAGCCAGGAGAACTCTGGGTGCAGGTACAGCCCGGGCACAGCATCCCCCATGGTTTGAGTCTGGCTTTGTTCTGGCACAAGGGCTTTGTGACACACCTGAGCACCAGAGACCACCCTGGCCCCATCTGGGCTTTCCCCCACCATCCAAACCCCTCTCCAGGTGCTGAATCCTGCTCCTCTGTGGCAAGGGGAAGCACAGAGTGTGGGGCCCAACCAGCTTGAAAGGCCCTGATCCACCCCAGCTTGGCTTGCCCCAATAATTCCCTGTTCCTGCTGCCCCCCGTGCTTGGGACAGGGGGAGGGACAGCAGGGAGGGGATGATTTAAACCGATTGTGCAATGATGGGGAAAGAGCAGAAGCACACAATGAAGCCTTGCTGCAGCCAACAGCACCACAACCTGTCACTGCAGGGACAGTCCCCTCCTGCCACCGTCCTCTGGCTGCAGCCTTGCCTCGCACTCTGCTGGGAATGTGGAGCTCTGGCATCACACCAAGCCCTGGAGGAATCCACAGGGCTGACTGATCCCTGACCACATTCCACCTGCAGCTCCTGGTGCTGTTCACTCATTCCCGGGTTGTGCCATCAGCGGGGTGACGTGCTTCTCATCCATACAGTGAGCAGTTGGGAAGGATTCTGCACTCCTCTGGCCCCCAGAGCCTGTGAGAAAGACTCAGGAAGGGCATAGAGAATCCAGGGAGTCCCTGCCGTATAGAAGAGACAAGTGTGGTGGGGTTTTAGTGTAAGCTCTGAGCAAATGGACTCAAAAGGGGCAGCCCAACTGGATATTGGGCTGGAGGTGCTGGGCTGGATGTGGGAGCACCAGACTGGAGCTGGGTGGCAGGAGCAGGAGTGCAGAGGGACATGGGCTCAGGCAGAAGCATCTCTGCAGCCAGCTGTGGGCACCTCTGGGAAAGGAAAATCTCCCTGGATGTGTCAGGGCACTGAGACCAGAGTGTGTGAGTTTGGTCAGGCCAAACCTCAAATCCTGAATTAAGTTTTGGGCCCCTCACGACAAGACAGACATTGAAGGGCTGGAGCGTGTCCAGGGAAGGGAACGGAGCTGGGAAGGGGCTGGAGCAGCAGGAGCAGCTGAGGGAGCTGGGGGGGCTCAGCCTGGAGAAAAGGAGGCTCAGGGGGGACCTTCTGGCTCTGCAACCCCCTGACAGGAGGGGGGAACCGGGGGGGGTCGGGTTCTGCTCCCAGGGAACAAGGGACAAGAGGAGAGGGAACGGCCTCAGGCTGTGCCAGGGGAGAGTCAGATTGGATATTGGGATATTTCTTCCTGGAAAGGGTGGTCAGTCATTAGAACAGCTGCCCAGGGCAGGGGGTCCCCATCCCTGGAGGGATTTCAAGGCCGTGGATGTGGCACTTGGGGACATAGTCAGTGATGGCCTTGGCAGTGCTGAGGGCACAGTTGGACTTGATGATCTCAGAGGGACTTCCCAGCCTTAAAGATTCTGTGATTCTATAGTTCTATTTAAGTCACAACCTCCAGTCTCCCAGGCAAATTCCATCTGCTTCCTTGCTGTGCCAAGTGGGAACACCCAGGGCTGGATCAGCCCAGAGACCCAACCCCTGCAGAACCAGGTCCAGGGGACTGCCAACACCCACAGCCTGCCCTGGGGAACAGTTCAACTCCAACAGCTCCAGGGGCTTCCAGGCCATGGGGCTGGGGAGGTGGTGAGGACAGGGCAAAGGGCATCAGGCATCACCCCAGGCCTGGGGCTCTTTGTACCAGGGGTGCTGCTGCGTGCCAGGGCTGACTCCTGCCGTGGGAACACTGGGATCAAGGACAGCACTGAGCTGGGGGACTGGAGAAACTGGTAACTGGCTTCTCCCAGCACGGGGAGGATGGGGAGGAGCCCAGAGAGGCTGAGCTCTGTGAGCTCCACACAGAGGAGCTCTGTTAGAGCCCCACAGCCCCTCTGCTTCCATGGCAAGGGGAGGACACATCCCTGTTCCCTTCAGGGTGCTGCTGCATCCCAGGAACTGCCTGGGGACCCCCATGGTGCTCAGGGTGTCTTTTGGAGGATGGATGGATGGGTGGATGGATGGATGGATGGTGGATGGATGGTGGATGGATGGGTGGATGGATGGGTGGATGGATGGTGGATGGATGGATGGATGGATGGATGGATGCAGTTGTTACCATAGCAATGGGGATGAACTGCACAGCAGAGCCAACCTGAACCCACCCAAGTTGAGAGGTTGATGGAGGGGGGACAAAGCCAAGGACTCTGGAATCAGAAAATGGGGAGACAAGGAAAGAGCAGCCAGTCTCTGCTTCTCCTAGCACAAGAACTGGGGACATGCAGTGAATCTGCCCAGATTGTAGGTGTACAACAACCTAAGGGTGCTGGTTTTTCACATGCCATTATTAAACACCAAGACTTTGCTCCAGGATGCTGTGGAGGCTGGATATGTACAGGAGAGTCCAAAGGCCATGGAGGGCAGGTCAGGCTGGTGGGGGCTGGAGGGGAATAGGTGGGCTGGGGGACCCTGGTGGGCTTTTTGCTGGATGAGCAGAGAAGTGTTCGAACAGCAGCTGGACCCCTGTGTGGTAACACATGAATGGCCACCAAATCCACTCTCTCACTTGGTTTTAAACCAGTCCTTTTCTCACAGCATCTTCCCACAAGGAAAACCCCAGGGGTGGCCAGCACAGGTCAGCCACCCCTGAGGGACAACCTCCAGCTCCTCTCTAAAAACTTGTGGCAGGATTTGCTTGTTGGCATTTTGTTATTATTCACCTCAACACATCTCTGCTTGGGTGTCAGTGCTGCTCAAAAAGTGGTGGAGATGGACACCATCCTGCCACTGGTGCCAGCACGATCAGAGATGTTCCCTGTCTGTCCTGTCCAGCAGCTGTCACAGTGAAGCACAGAATGGTTTGGGTTGGAAGGGACCTTAAACATCATCCAGTTCCTTGTGGTGAACAGCAGATCCCCATTTTCCTGGACAAACCCAACAGGCAAAAGCTGAGGTCAAGAAGGAAGGGCCTGTCCATGGAGAGGACAGTGTGCAGGGCAGATTTATCCCAGCTGGGAGGAGGACAGACAACAAGAAGGTGCCTTAAATACTCAGGAAAAGCAAGACTTGATAGACCTGTGGTTTGAAGCCAATGTAGGTGCCAAACCCTTGTTTTCTATGCAGTACTTTCAGAGCCTTTCAGCACCTGAATCATGTCTGTGGAGAAGTTAGGAAAAAATTTTATTTCTTTAAGAAAATTGTCTTACAGTAAATGGAGAATTCATTGTCAAGGCCTGATGGCTCCCAGTTTTTGAGCACTGGAGTGTTACTCACCTGTGCTGTCCTGGAGTCTGAGCTATGCCTTTCCCATCAGTCATGAGATTTCTCTTCAGAATTCCAGCTGAGGGACACAGCTTGAAGGTACTGAGCATTTTTCAATCCAGTGAAGAAAAAACTTGAGCATGTGACAGCAACCTTCCCTCAAGGCCGCTGGGAAGCATAAAAAATTAGCAACTTCATTTCAAGGAGAAAAGGTTTATGTTATGAAACCTCAACATTGTGATGGGGACTGGAAAATCAGGCCACAGAATCGTGGAATCTTCTGAGCTGGAAAGGACCCAGAAGGATCATCCAGTCCAACCCTTGGCCCTGCACAGACAACCCAACAATCCCACCTTGTCCCTGAGAGCATTGTCCAAACACTCCTCCAAACACTCCCTGAGCTCTGGCAGCCTTGGGGCCGTGCCCACTGCCCTGGGGTAGTTCAGTGCCCGACCAGCCTCAAGGCACGAGCCAGGAAAAGCTCCATCCCTTTCACAAAGGAAAACAGTCTTTGGAGAGGTGTTTCATTCCTGGAGCTGCCACCGCTCCCTTCCCAGCCCGGGGCTCTCCAACCACCACATCCTCACGGATTTACAAGGGCAGCAACACCAGAGAGGGGGAGGGATTGTGCTGATTTATTGCTGTAACGGGAGCGTTAACTTCCTAAAATTCCAGCGGGTTGGAAGCCGTGGCCGGAGCCGGGGCACAGCCTGCAGGAGGAGCTCTCTAGACGCGTCTCTTGCTCTTTTTTTTGTCGGCAGCAGCCGCTGATTTCTTGGGCTTCGCTTCAGCCGCCGACGAAGGACGGGCGGGACGGGCGGACACCTTCCCACTCCTGCGATCGAACACTTCCAGGGATTTTTTAAACTGTTCCTCCGCCTTCTTTTTCCACTCCGTCTTTCTCTCCTGGTCTTTCATAAACTGCTGCTGTAGCTGTTTGTGGAGACTTTTAGTCTTCTTTTTGGCCTCTTCAAATTGTTTTACCTTTGTGAAAGCAAACGTAAGACCTGAGAGCCGCTGTCCTACCATGAAATGAAGGATGCCAAAGTGATGCTTGTCTTCAGGAAGAGACACATCCCACCTTATCCCTCAGTATGGCCCAGAAAAAAGCCCCAGTATGTGTAATCAGAGAACCCCAGAATTGTTTGGTTTGGAAGGGATCTTAAAACCCATCTCCTCCCACCCCTTGCCATGGGCAGGGACACCTTCCACCAGCCCAGGTTGCTCCAAGCCCCGTCCAACCTGGCCTTGGACACTTCCAGGGATCCAGGGGCAGCCACAGCTTCTCTGGGCAACCTGTGCCAGGGGCTCAACACCCTCACAGGGGAGAACTTCTTCCCAATATCCCATCTAAACCTACTTTCTCCCAGGATATCTTAGGAACAACATCTGAGTCCGGGTTAAGCCCATGGCAAACAATGCCTGTAGCTCATTCCAAACCACAGGTGACTTGGAGATAGGATACAGCAGCTGTGTCCAGAGGTCAGGATGGAGGCTCAACCATTCATGTCAAAGGTGGCCCAAATCCAAGAGCTGCCTCCTCCTGACCATTGGAGGGAGCCTTGGCACCCCTATCCTGATGCTGAAGACCTACAGGCCCCTTTGTGGCAGAGGGGGCCCCAAACCCCATCCCAGGGGGGCAGCACCAGCAGGGCCTGGAGGGGTCAGGGGGAGAGGAGAGCCTCACCTTCTCCTCCAGGAGCAGCTGCTCGTGGACAGTGGAGCTGGGCAGGACACTGTCTGGGTCGAGGTCCCAGTCCCCAGGGCTGCTCTGGGTGAGAAGGGCTTTGTGTCAGAGAGCGGGGGTGCAGTGGGGGCTCAGCCATGGCCCACAGGCCTGCTCACAGCCCCTGAGCGGGAGGGTCCCTCAGCCCAGTGTGGGGTCCCCCAGCCTCAGGATGGTGTGAGGGTCCCCCAGCCCAGGGGGAGGGTTCCCCAGTCCCACATGAAGGTCCCCCAGCCCAGGATAGTCTGAGGGTCCCCCAGCCCCAGGACAGTGTGAGGGTCCCCCAGCCCCTCACCGGGGCCCCTCGAACCGCCGGCTCTGGGGCGGTGGGAAGAAGGTGACGCGAGGCCCTGTCCTGCCCTGCTCCTCCATGACCCGCTGGCCCCGCCGTTGGTGGTCGGTGGTTGCCACGGTGACATTGGCACCCACTGGACCGGCACCATCATCAACGGCTGCCTGGAGGTGGTGACCTCCCTCTGTCCCCACATGGAGCACCCCTGTGTCCCAGTGAGGGACACCCCCAGCCCCTGCATCTCCAGCTGTCGGGCTCCGGGGCACCCGGGATCCACAGCGTGGGGACACACAGGGTGAGCAGGACCCCACCGGCTGCGTGGCCTGAGGGAGCACCACTCCATGTCCCTGATGGGCACAGAGTCACAGAAACACAGAGTCATGGAATGGGTTGGGTGGGAAGGGACCTTAAAGCCCATCCAGTCCCACCCCCTGCCATGGGCAGGGACACCTCCCACTAGCCCAGGTTGCTCCAAGCCCCATCCAACCTGACCTTGGACACTTCC